AAAAAAAAAAAAAAAAAAAAAATTCTGAATTCCCAGTTCAGTGGCAAGGAGGCCAAATGAAGTGAGGGGGCCTGCTGCCAGGCAGGCCTGATTGGGCAGCCTGTTTTGACAGTTCAGAGAGCTGCCCTCTCCTCTAAAGGTAGGGGAGGGGTTGCTGGAGTGGCCAGTGGTTTTATTATTAAATGGGGTCCCCTTCTACACCACCACCCCATCCTGTTCTCTGCTACAGGAAACAGTCCTGAAAGGCATAAATACAGTACCAAAAAGAGGGCTCTAAATGGAGGTGAGGCAGCTCTGAACCCAGGCTTGGCCTCCAAATTCCTTTTGTGACACTGAATGAGTCACTCTACCCAATCCTACAATGAAGCGACAGGGATGAATAGCTTAGTGTCTTCCCTCTTCGACATCTCATCCAACTCAGACTGCAGGACCTAGAATAAGTGCTTTTCTCTCTCTAGCCTCAGAGCCTGGCTGCCAGATGGCTTGGGCATCTGGGGTCTGGGCCAGCTCCAGCACATATCGGGTAGGAGGCGACAGGACCCCTGCAAGGAACACGGGCCCGAGGTGACTTCCTGATCCACTGCTTCCCACCCAGACATGCTCCAACAGGAGCCTTCTCTGACCTGGAAAAACCTGTAGTACTCCAGGGGACCCACCACCAGGCTTCCCTGATCAATTAAAAAAACAGAGTAAATACTCAGGCTTTTGCAAGCCTGGGGGTTCTCTGGGATGGAGTTGCTGGGGAGAAAGGGCAGTTCCAAATAAAAGGATACTAAACGAAGGAGGACCCATCACAGAAGGCATAATGCAACTTGATGGTCTTCTTGGATGCCTTCCAGTCCTGAGATCTCCGGCCGAAGTGCAGATGGTGGGCAGGGAGCTGGTGAGGGGCGGGAGTGGGAGTCTGTGCGCCCGGAAGGAGAGGATGATAGGAGCTCGGGGTTTGAGCATCCCCCTTCGGGGCCAACACTGGATGAAAGGGCATCTTTGCCCTGTAGTTGCGTAAGATCATGGGGTAGAAGATATTCCTCCCTTTCCACAAGGCCTTTTCAGCTTCTCTGCAGGGAAGGAGAGCAACATACCTTCTAGCCACTTGGCTCTCACTCCCAGGGAGGCTCTCCACAGCCCCTCCCCAGCTCCCAAGACCCCTGTCCCAAAAATACCGCACCCCCCCAGTTCCCCTGATCCTTAGTGGCAGTATTTTTAGGAAGAACTGGGAAGGCCCCAGCACCAATCCTTGCCTGCTTTCCACCATTTGCACTGGGGTGAGGAGCCATGGAGTCAGACTGTGTGCAGAATGGGTTCCTGTGGGAGCTGGAAGCTTTGCCCACCCCCCAGTCCTGAGGTTACAAGGAAACCCAGCTTCCTTTCAGATTGTTACAGTAAAGGATAAACTGGGTGGCTGCCCTCTCCCCATGTTCTGTAGCTACAATAATAATGGCCCAGGAAGCCTGAGATATGTATGGCTTAGATGTGTCAAGGTTTTAAATCCTTTATGGCCCAACATCTGGGCCCTTGGACAAATGCAGACTGACTTGCTAGGACTTGTAGAACCCATAATATAAATACCATTAATCACCAATGTCAATGTTTTTTGTTTCTTTTCAGAGGTGTTTCTTTTTGATAGGAGGGCCTCTGACAAATTATGTTAAGAAATAAACCATATTTTGGGGCATTACTAGTGAGGAGACAAAGTACCCGGGCGCCCCACCCACCTGTGAGCCTGAAGCTCAGTTTCCTCATCTGCAAAACAGTCTAAGTCCTCTCTTCCTCTTATGGTCATAGTGAGAGGGGAAGGACTGGGAACGTGTACAGGTGTGAGGGACAGCCATCACCCCATCACTGTCACTGAGAGCACTGGGTAGCTGACCATCTCTGGCACAGTGCAGACACTTCCATGATTTTCCCCTTCATGTGCGCAGGCGACTGTTGGCCATACCCTCCTCTCGCATCCGTCCCCAACCACTGAGTGCTCACATGTGGCGACACATCTCCTGCAGCTTCTCCCGGGCCTCAGGGCAGGGGTCACTGGACTCGATCATATCAGAGGCAGAGGTCCTGGCTCCTTGTTGTTGGGAAAACATGACTGCATCTTCTAGATGTTTTGCTTTGGCTGTAGTTGGAGTTGAAGAGGTTAGGGAGGGGTTTTAGAAAATGGTTTCCCAAGATATCATGTTCACCTGGGGATGAGAGGGCAGGGAGCACAGGACAACAGCATCCCCTGAGAGTCAAAGTAACTGGGGGAATCCATTTACGCTTCCTGAGCACAGCAATCTCCGGCAGGTCACATAAAACAGAGACATCACTCCACAAGTGAACTAAATGTGTGTCAGGAACAAATTTTTGCAGTGATGAATTCAGCTGTGTTTTCCCGGGGCAGCCTGGTTCTAAGTGGGGAGAGCACAGATGTGGCTGTCATGATGCTGAAGTGCATGACTCCCTTTTTCCAATAAAGACAGAAAGTCTCAATTCCATCTCCATCGGCTTCCACACTTCTCTGATGGTGGTTAATCTCAGGCCTTTTGCAGAGGAGAGTGTGTATTAATTGAGACTTGGACTGCAATTCCTATTGTGGTGAAATATGCATAAAAATTTACCATAACCATTTTTAAGCATACAGTTCAGTGGTTAATTAAATGCATTATTTAATTATTGGTTAATTAAATGCAATAATGTTGTGCAACCATCATCACCATCCATCCATATAGCTCTTTTCATCTTGTAAAATTAAAACTCTGTCCTCATTAAACACTAACTCCCCACTCTCCACTGCCCCCCAGTCCCTGAAAACAACTATTCTACTTTGTCTTTATGATTTGGACAACTCTAAGTACTGCACATAAGTGGAATCATGCAGTATTTGTCTTTTTCCGACTAGCTCTTTTCACATAGCATAATGTCCTCAAGGTTCATTCATATTGTAGCAAATGTCAGAATTTCCTCCTTTTTTAAGGTTGAGCAATATTCCAATATATCCACTCTGTGAATAGTGTCTTCTGATGAAAAAAATTTTGGAATTTTCATGAAGTCCAATTTGTCTATTTTTTCTTTTTTTGCCTGTGCCTCTGGTGTCATATCCAAAAAATCACTGCCAAATCCAAAGGCATGAGGTTTTTGTTCTGTTTTCTTCTAAGAGTTGTATTGCTTTAGGTCTTACATTTAGGCCCTTTATCCATTTTAATTTTTCAATAGAGAGTTAGGTAAGGGTCCAACTTCATACTTTTGCATGTGCCAATCCAGTTTTCCCAGCACCACTTGTTGAAAAGACAACAGAAAGATACTCCCCATTGAACGGTCTTGGCACTCTTGTCAAAAATAATTTGACCACATGTGAAGATTTACTTCTGGGTTTCTATTCTATTCCACTGGCCTATATGTTTGTCATTATGCCAATAACACACTATTTTGATTACTGTAGCTTTGTAATTAAGTTGTAGTTAAGATGTAGCTAAATCAGGAAGTATGAGGCCTCCAGTTTTGTTGTTCTTTTTCAAGATTGTTTTGGCTATCCAGGGGTCCCTTGAGATTCCATATGAATATTAGGATGAGTTTTTCTATTCCTGCAAAAACATCTTTGGGATTTTGAAAGACATTGCCCTGAATCTGTAGAGCACTCTGGGTATTACATGTTAACAATATTAAGTCTTCCTATCTATGAACATGGTATGTTTCCATTTATTTATGTATTCTTATTTCTTTAAGCAATGTATTGTAGTTGTCATTATATAAGTTTTTCACCTCCTTGGTTAATTCCTGAGTATTTTATTCTTATTGATGCTATTGTAAATGGAATTGTTTTTATAATTCTCCTTTCAGATTGTTCACTGTTTATGTATGGAAAGGCAGCTGATTTTTCTGTTGACTTTGTATACTGCTGCTCTGCTGAATTCATTTATTAATTTAACAATTTTGGGGGGAATCTTTGGGCTTTTCTACATATAAGATCAAGTCATCTGCAAACAGATCATTTTTTATACTCTTTTTTTAAATTAAGGTATCATTGATATACACTCTTACAAATGTTTCACAAGGAAAACAATGTGGTTACTACATTCACCCTTATTATCAAGTTTCCTCCCATGCCCCACTTCAGTCACTGTCTGTAGTGTAGTAAGATGCTACCGAGTCCCTACTTGTCTTCTCTGTGCTACACTGTCTTCCCCATGACCCCACACACACCACATGCACTGATTATGATACCCCACAATCCCTTCTCCCTCCCTTCCACCCACCCTCCTCAATCCCTCCCCTTTGGTAACCGCTAGTCCATTCTTGGAGTCTGTGAGTCTGCTATTTTGTTCCTTCAGATTTCTTTCATTATACTCCACAAATAAGGGAATTCATTTGGTATTTGTCTTTCTCTGCCTGACTTATTTCACTAAGCATAGTATCCTCTAGCTCTATCCATGTTGTTGCAAATGGTAGGATTTCTTTCTTTCTTATGGCAGAATAGTATTCCATTGTGTATATGTACCACCTCTTCTTTATCTGTTCATCTACTGATGGACACTTAGGTTGCTTCCATATCTTAGCTATTGTAAATAGTAGTGTGATAAACAGAGGTGCATATTTCTTTTTGAATCTGGGACCTTGTTTTCTTTGGGTAAATTCCTAGGAGTGGAATTCCTAGGTCAAATGGTACTTCTATTTTTAGTTTTTTGAGGAACCTCCGTACTGCTTTCCACAATGGTTGAACTAATTTACCTTCCCACCAGCAGTGCAGGATCTCCTTTCTCCACATCCTCGCTAGCATTTGTTGTTGTTCCTTGTCTTTTGGATGTTGGCCATCAGAAAACTAAACCAAGCCATCCCATGAACCTACACAGGGAATCTTCCATTGCCCTCCCTATCCCAATCCCCAAATATGGGCTAAGAGGTCTTGCTGGGAATCTGCTACCTGCTTTCTTCTTGATTTCCCTCCCAGTTGAGAGAGAAAAGCTCAGACAGCCAGTAGATGACTCGTAGATAAGCTGGTAAGGCAAGTTCACTCCCATGGCTGAGACGATCGTAAAGAACTCTGGAGCAGAAGAGAAAAACATTCTTCAATATGGACTTTCTGGTCTGGCAGAATGGTAGACCAGATATTCTAAGAGCCCTGTTGTTACAAAACAACCGTATCTTGGAAGAAAGACTTTTTAATGCACAAGTAGACTCAGAGCAATTAAGGGAATTTTAAGGTTCAATTAAGGTGCCTCTCTATAGCACCAGCTCCCCATCTCTGCACATCTCAAGAGTGAAATGACACCAGAGCAGGAAGCAGCAAGCCAGCACGAAAGGTGACATCATTGTGAGGGCACATGCAGATAGGACTGCTGCACTAGGTGAAGAGAATAAACACTGGACCAGCCAGAGGAATTTTAGAGTCAACCATCTTCTCCTGTCCAAGCCTTAGAAATCAGATGCTTCTTTAACAACAGATCAGTCTCTTACAGAATCACAATTTTGTGTAGAATAATCTGATATTTGACCATTCAAGAATGAAAATTTACTATCCCCATTGCTAGTGGAAAATCTTGATCATCCTACAAAAACCCCATCAGATTATTTCCTTATTCTTCCCCCAGATATGGTCCCTTCACTAGTTAGGCGTGAAACTGTTAGGCAATGTTAAGCAGTTCATCATGGCTCATTCAAAAATTGTATGAGACCTTGGATGTAGACAAAGACTATAACCAGAGACTGCACACTGGGTGATGCAAACACGCAATCATCTTCACCAGTGATCCAAAAGTTGAAATTAGGACAATTTTCAGTACCTCCGAACTCAGTAGAAATGAACTAACAATAGCCAATGCTGGTGAAGATGGGATAAGACTGGTCAATCCTGCTAGTATAGAGAAAATTCATCTAGAAAACAATGCTATACCAAGAACTATACACATACTGAGACTCTCTGCCCCAATAATCCCTCTCCTGGGAAATTAATCTTAGTAACCTTATGAGGTGGAATGCTAATGGTAACAGCCGTTTCCTTTTCAGTGAGGGAACATAACGTTGGTTGGGAGAGCACCAGGCAGAGCTGAGGATGAGTGGTTGGGCTACCAGGTCAGCTCTTACCCATACAGCAAACCAGCAGGCTGCCGAACCCTCAGGTGAGATGCATCTCTAAGCCCCGTGTGGAACTCAAGGTGCTGAACTCCATATATGCTAGTGACCATCTGCATGGGTACAGCATAATTAGATGACCTGTGTTATCAGGGCCCAGCTGACCCTGAATAGAACGGGCGCAGAGTAAAGTCCCTTAAAACAGGGACTTCCATTTCATGGTAAGTAGTGGGGTAAAAAAATGTCTGAGCGGAACTTTATCTTAGAAAAGGAAAACAAAATTTATCAAAATAGCCTTTATCTTATATTTAACCATTGGTTGATATCGTAAGCGCACATTAATTCTTGTAAGAAAAGTGTCAATTTTTTTATATGACAGCAATAAAACATGAGCTCCTTCATGTTTGCCTTTTGCAAAAATATCCAAAGGCTTTATCAATTTTTATTTTTAACTCTTTGATACCTGAATCATCCTTTCTCCATGGAAGGCCCACATGGACAATTTTCCTTTCTTCAGTAGTCACTAGTTCTGCTCCCCCGCATCATCACCAGTGGCTTTGTGTGGGAATTGAGCTGTTCTCCAACATCTCTTTTACTGACTTCATGAAATTCCAAGGCTTACAATTTTACTATGCAACTTTTTTACACTGTATGTGATTATTATTATCAGATGTTTAACCTCTGACCATGGGAAGCCTAACAAATATTCAGTTGACTGGGAGAAATGCTACATGGGGATGTATTTTATAGGTGAGGGTAAATGATTACAAGATAGTAACTTTTTATGCTTCCCTATGAAAACTCCTAACAGTGAGAACTTTTAGGCATTCAAATCAGTATCTGTATACCCACCAAGCTTAAGAGGCACATCACAGATACTGAGTCACTGTCTTCCAGATGCCAGCCCTCCACCCCTCTCCAGAGAGCACTTCCTCCAACTTGCATCTGTCATTTCCCTTCATGCTTATATACTTGAACAATGGATCCAGTAAGCAATATATTGTTACTTTGCATTCTTTAAATTTTATTTAAATACCTTATACTTCTATAGCTTGTTTTTTCTTTGCTTAACACTATTTTTTGAGATTTATCTATATTGATATGGGTGCTTTACTGCTTGATTCATTTTCACTTCTCATTATGTTCCACTGTGTAAACAAACTGCAGTTTTTCTCTCATTTATGGGCATTTAGGTTGTTTCCCCCTTTTTATGCCATTTCAAACAACTCTGCAACATTTTGGTATAACTTCTTATGTATGTGAAATCCTCAAGTGTGGTGTGTGGACTGGTATGAATCCACACCATGCCATAACCAGGTGAGTACAAAAACTGTGAGTAAACATTTAGAAAACTCTGGAGCAATTTGGCATTGCTGTGACATCTTTATCATATTTTTGAAAGGGCTGGTCCACAAAAGACTGTAAATTTTACATAGCGGTCCTTCACCGCAGGTAGTCTGAGATGCACAGCTCTAGTGAATTACCTAGGAGAGAAACTGCTGGACTGTAAGAAGCTTGAGCATCTCCCACTTTGCAGATATCACAAACTGCTCCCCATGGAACTGCATCAATTTAGACACTCACCTGCAGCATTTAAAAATATGTTGCTGCATAGCCACCTCAATTCTTGGAAATAGCAAAAATTTAAACTGGGGATCTGACCTTTCCATTGCAGTCTTGTTGGTACTGTTTGAACTTTCATCTAAGGGCTGAAGCTCAGGTACCCACCTTTTCCCAACTGTCCAACACCACAGCTACTTCTCCCAACGGTGCCAATCAGGTAGTTGAAAGCCATTTCCTTGGCTCTGAGATGGAGGAGCCGGCTGGCCTCCACAAAGCGCCTGGTGATGTCCAGGGGGTTGGCACCTATTAAAGGAATCATTGACGTAACTCATTTTCCTCCCAGCACAGGGCTAATGCTTTCAGAAAATGGCCCAGAAAATAAAGGTAGAGTAATCTATTCCTAGGGTAGGCAAGTGTGAGGGGGCTCCTAATGGAAGGGTCTCAAGTTCTCAAGACCTGTCAGGTGGCATTTTGTTCCCTGCCCTTCACCCTTTCCACCCATAGGCCTGGGTACTGACGCTATTGGGATTTAAAATAACACAGCATTGAGAAGGCTCAGTTACTGATACAGATCTTGACCTTGGGATGACGCTCTTGCCAGGGATAGACCCCAGTTCCCCTAACTCTCCCTGATTCTGGTTCTACTCGCCTCTGTCTAGCTAACAAACGGTTGGCCCTTCCAATTTGCCCCCTCCTTGGTGCTGCCTCTCTCCACCTCTCTGTCATTTCCACCCCTCCACCCTCTGACCTCACACTGTTCTCCACAGTCAACCTTCCCATCTGGACTCAGCAAAGATCCGAGAATGGGAGGAAAAAGTGGAGAGTAGAGAGGAGTAAGAGGATGATTCTTGGAGATGGTTGTGGGAAGGAGTTCAATACCTACAGCAGACACACGGCTGCCACTCAGTCCCAGCATCCTTACATACTTGTCTGGGGTGGGTGCGGTGGACACACACACTGGTCCGCGCAGACCCGCCCAGATCCAGAATAAATGGAGAACAATCTGGCATGGCAGGCTTACCAGACACGGACTCCACCATGGCCTTCAACTTCAGGGTGAGCAGCTCTGTCAGCAGGTGAATGGACTGCCGATGGAACCTGTGCAGGGTCTCCGAGCCGGAGGGCACTGGTGGGGTGGGAGAGTGGGCGAACTTGGCTGGCCCCACAGATGTGGGCAGCACTGGCAGAGGTGGTACTGAGGGTGGTGGCTTCTTCTCGATGGGGGCCTGCACAGACGCTGAATCCACAGGCACCACAGCTGGGGCGCCAATGCTGACCTCTAGGCCCAGGATGTCAGATGGGGCAGGCACCATGGGGTCAGTGATGAGCTCCTCCCAAGTGAACTCAAAGATGTTTCGGATGCCCTTAGGTACAGAAATACCTGCCTTCCGGCAAACAATGAGCAGTTTGGAGATGCGGGCCAGCAGCCCGGGGGCCATGACTGTGTACTGCTGGTACACCTCTCGGTTACTCTTGCTGTCGTTCATGGTGCTGGAACATGTGTGCTTCTAGGTAATATTGCCCATCCCAGACAAGAAGGATCTTCAGCGGTAAAGAGTTAAACCACCCTGAGAGGTGGAGACAGTACAAGTTCTTACTAAGGTGAAGCCTTGGAGACAGAATGAAAGTGCTGAAATGGCCCTTATAGGTCACTGAGCCAGCAGGTCCTACGTAGGAAGGATGAGGAAACAACTGGCCACTCTCTACAAAGAGGGCAAGGGGATGCCCATCCTCCCTTCTCTTTCCAGAGACACCATCAGGCAGACCTGTATTATTAGTCAGTCACTTAGGGAAGGGCCTGGGCATGAGCACGTCTCAAAAATGGTTCCAGGGACAGTCAGACAAACTGAGTACCCAGGGAGGGACCCCAAAGGCTAGATGAATAGAAAGGATGGGGAAGGAAGAAAGGGCCCACCACACCTTTTGTTGTTAGAGATCTAAGGATGGAAGATCCGCCTGTGGTCTGTTAATAAAAACCTGCAAAAACAAAAAGATGCTTCACTGACTCTCTGTGGAGGAAGGTGAGGTAGAAGCTCCTGGTTGCAAAGCAAGATGGGCATGGAATTATTCAACATGTACGAGCAAGGCCAGACAGAAAAGAACATGAAGAGAATGAATTTTCTTAATTCAATGACTAATATCATTTGCCACATTTCATTAAATCTAAGATGTGATGTAACTGATTGAGATGCACCATCTCACAAGAAAAAAATCAATGTAAGATGACAATGGCTGTGAGATGTATCAAAATTTCAGAACTGTTTAAATGGGAAATACATACACCTTAAAATCGAAGAACTATGACAATTATCTTCCCACTTTAACAGAACTTCTTGAGGGTTGGCATCAAGTGGACATATATAGCAGTGAGGTTAGCAGATAAGCATACTTGTGTTAGGGTCAGCTGAACACAATTAAATGCTGCAGTGGTTTTTACCCTGACATACTTCTAAACTGTGTTCTATTCGTATCTAAATTTATACCAAAAATAGACAATTGATTGAAGAGGGAGTGTGAAGAACAATTTGATGAGCACAAAAATGGCTAGAAAAATCCATAAATAGACTTCTAGAGTTTTGTAATCAAATCTGAAAGTTTCACTCATCTGATCTGAATCCCATTGGGACATTCTTCAGTAACATTACAATCTAAAATACATGGACAAAAATGTAAAGTCACTTCTTGATCTTGAGCTACACAAAAATGAAGATTTATTTCTTTTCATTCCTGAGGGGCTTTCAGAGAATATGCGCATCTGTAAAAGATGCTTAAGAATCCAGAACACGTAGGAAAGGCTGGTCTAAGGAAAGCTTAGAGCAGAGGACAGACTGGGTCCCCCCTCTGACCATCTGTCAGCATTCCCATGCAGTGCCGGCCAGCTGCCCCTGTATCTGACTTAAACGGCCCCAAGTAAGCACACTGATAATGTGAGATTTGGCCTGACAGCACTGGCCTTTAGAGCGGAGGAAGGGTTGCTGGCTGGCATCTTCTAACAATCTTTGTTACCACAGCCTTCCAACCCCATGGACCTCTTCTTCCACCAGACAATCCTCAACCTTTCACTTTCCAAACCAAGTCCTCTGGAGCCACCCAAATTTGTCATTCCTGGACTGCACCCCTGGTACACACCCTGTGTTTATGCAACAGGTTCATGTCCATGATCTGGTGTGACCACCCTGGGGTGAAAAAGCTATTTTCTCTCTGGTTTTCACTGTTAAGGAATCAGAGGCTGAGGAAGACTGCAGACTCCTGGCAGAGCCCTTTCCAAACACGACGACGACTTCCCCACATGTTCTGAGCTGCCTCTACCCATGTAGCAGCAACAAAATCTCCAAGAACAAGAGGCCCATAGAGCAAACCCTTGTGACATCCTGCGGCTTTGCAGATAAAGTGGCTTCATACATCTATTTGCTGACCCTCTGGCATCACCATTCTTCAGCTTTGGAAACTCAGAAAAATAGATTCATTTTTTAAATGATAAGTCTACAGAACAAAGAAACCACTCAGAATCTCAGTCATCTGGGCAACCAGCCAGAGGGATCTGACCCTGGCCATGCAGGGCAGATTTTTTAAGCCAGGACTCAAATGAAGAGAACACGAATACAATCCTTGAAATGTTAACTAGTTTGAGGGACTTCTCCCCACCCTATGCACCACCAGTTCCTTCCTTTTGAGTCTCACGATCGAATAAAAGCTGATTTTTAAAACAGGCTTGTTGGGATATAATTCACATCCCATACAATTCACCCTTTGGAAAGTGTACAACGGTTTTTAGTATACTCAAGCATCCAACACGATGACCTCATTTTAGAACATTTTTATCACCCACAAAAGAAACCCATTAGCAGTTACTCTCCATTCCCCCTTACCCCTAAGCCACTACTCATCAAGTTTCCTGTCTCTACAGATTTGCCAGTTCTGAACACTTCACATTAATAGAATCATAGTGTCTGGTCTGTCATGACTGGCTTCTTTCACTTAGCATGTTTTAGAGGTTCATCCATGTTACAGCATTTATGAGTTATTTCATTCATTTTTACAGCTGAATAATATTCCATTATATGGATAAGCCACAATTAGTTGATCCATTCATTGTTCGATGGGCCCTCTGGTTGTTTCCACTTTGTGGCTATTATGAATAGTACCGCTATGAACATTCATGTACAGGTTTTTATGTGGACAGGCGTTTTCATTCTCTTGGGAATGTACCTAGGAATGGAAATACTGGGTCACATGGTAACTCAATGTTCAACATTGTGAGGATCTGCCAGGCTGGTTTCTGAAGTGGCTGCACCATGTTACAGTCCCAGCAGCAGGGCATGAAGGTTCTAATTTTTCCATGCATTTGCTGACACCTGTTACTATGTCCTTTTGATTTCAGTGCCATCCTGTCTCACTAGTTTTGATTTGTGTTTCCACGACGACGAAAGATGTTGAGCATCTTTTCATGTGCTTACTGGCCAACTGCTATCTTTTTTGAAGAAAAGTATATTCACAGGTAAAAGCTATTGGTTTTTTTTAAAGAAATGTCATTTTAAATTAAATGTACAAATAACCCATATTTATTACCATATAAATCTCTCTTCATAATACAGATGAGATGAAGGTGGAACTGTTGGGTAGGGTCTGAGAAATCTTTTTAAAGGAGGCTGCCTTCATGGAAAGAAGAAATTTTCTTCACTCACTGACCTACTCTTTGTTCATGTCTAGAAATGATGAAATGGCTGTAGCTACAGCAGTCATTCAGAGCCATGAAGCTACCATGAAGGAAGCCATGCATTAAAGGTGGCTGAGCAGAGTGAGAGCCTGGGCTTCTGATGACATGGGAGCACCTTCCCACACCAGCACTTAAGCACTTACACCTCCAAATTTGCTTCACATGAGAGAATGAGCCCCTAATCTCTTTTAGCCACTTAATGCAGATCTCTATTCCTGCAGTCAGATGTGATCCCTTACTGACAACCAGCCATGGTGGAATATCACTGCCCCCTCTTCTCCAGGTATCCAATTTTTGTTCTGTCACTCATTCATTTTTCCATCACTGAGACACGGGCCTTGCCCTCAAGCAGCTCACCATTTAACAGGTGGAACAGACATACAAAACTGACTTATAAACTTTATGATGCGAGTTGCCCTACAGAAAAATGAACAAAGACCAAAGAAGCAGTGGGGAAGGTTGCTGTAAAAGAGAAGTATAAGCTGCCAAGCAGACAGGAAGGAGAAGGCATTCCAGGCTGCAGAACAGTATGCACAAAGGAACAGAGACATTTAAAGCATAGTGAGTTCAGAGAACTGCAAAACATATCAGAATTGTTGGGGTCTATGGAAGAGGAACAGATGAAGTTAGAAAAGTGGTCTTGAATCAGATTGTGAAGGGCTGCATTTGTTGTATAATCAAATACTCAAATGTATTGCATTTGTTGTATAATCAAATACTCAAATGAAAAGAATTTGCATTTGTTGTATAATCAAATACTCAAATGTATTGTCTTCAATTGTTAGTTGCACCCCATGTGGTAAATCTCTTCTCTGCAAATGCAGAGCTGGAACCATGCCTTCTCTCCCTCTAACAGGATACAGTGTGCTGAGTACAGTGCTGCTACATGCCAGAAACTGAACATTTGAGGCATCAAAGGCCATGGAGAGCCTAAGCGATCCATGTAGACAGCTATAAACAAAGTTTCAAGAAACAACTCCCTCAAAAAAACGAAAAGATCATGTAAGTTTATAAATTATATAAAAGATAACCACAAGCTCAGCAGGTTCTTCATTCAACAAACTGCTGCCCGTCTCCTCTGGGGAGAAGGAAGAGGCATGCGCACAAAGCTACAGTGACAAGTCAGACTACTTGCTGCAAGGATGGAAGCCCACAGGAGGCAGTGCCACTGGGTGGCCAACAGTTCAGGCTAGGTGACCTTCTATGTGACCTGGAGTCTGGTATTTGATCTGTGTGATGTTCTCAAGGGCCCCATGTGGACACTAGTCTCTACCACTCAGGACTGTGAAGATTAAGTGAGGTGATGCACATAGAGAGTTGGCACAAGGTCTAGAACAGAGTTAAGTATTCAATGAATGTTAAGTAGAAATAGGAAATTATTTGGAGTGGGCTGAAGAAGGCTGCACAACAGAAATGACAGAAACTGGTTAGGAAATAGAAGTAGACCTGAGAACAAGGGAAGGAAGAGCATTGCAGGCAATGGGGATGGCACTTGCTCAGGCTGGAGGCTTTCCAAAGCCAAGTAGCTAGATGCTGCCCCAGGTCAGTGTGAAGTGGGGAAGGGCCACGCCTGGGAAGGGCGGGCAGGGCCAAGTGAGAAGAGCTGGTGTAAGATGATGCACATGGACTTCACCTTGCCCCACGGCACCCTGACCTCTGCCTACAGTATAAAACAGGACTGCCAGTCCCCGGTGCACCTGGAAGGGCACTTACAGGGCACAGACACAGCGAACTGCCAGGGGTACACAGTGGGACATAAGCAGAACACAGGTGAAAAGTGGAAAAGTTCTGAACAAGCTTCAGAGAAACTAAGTACACTCCATAAGAAGGAAGGTGAGGGGGAAATTTGGGAACAGACTTAACAGAAAACTTCTCATTACTGGCCCTGATCTAGAACTCATTTTTTGGTAGAAGTATACACAATTGTATGCTTAAAACAAAATTAAACCTAACCCCTCAGGTTATCTGGTCCCAGCTTTCTTTACTATTTTGTCTGGTTTCTGGCTCTCGGGTTTTAATCAGAAACACTTTGATCAAGACAGTGAGCAGTCCAGATGTAACTGTGTGACTGAGGGAAGCGAGCACAGCTTCAAGCGAGGCCAGCCATGACAATGAGCCCTTCCTCGATGCGGGAAAGAAGTGGAGATGGGAGTGGAAAATGGAAAATTAAGTTACTAGCTGAAGTCCTCTTCGCGTGCAGTATATTAAATAGCATTCAGGGCAGATCTTGAGCACTGCTAGCATATGAAAGGAAGAAAGGGCTGAGCTACGGAGACCTGAGAGTAAGCAGAGTGGGGGCAGTGCACACGATCAACCCAAACTGCCTGCAGCAAGTAAGGTTAACAGGTGGTCACCGCTCATCCTGCAGAGGAATTTCCTTGCAAACCACCTGCATCCTCCACGAGGGAGATTTATTGTGACCCTAGGGCCTTTACCAAGATGCGTCTTCAGGCAAGACCCATCATGAGCCATAAAAATGATCATCCCTTTGACCTGGTGATCTCACTCTTCAAAGTAATGCCCAAGGGGACTGTTTAAAAAAGGGAGGGGGGGGGTCTTTAAAACCAAGGAGAGAGAAGGTACTTGCATAAAGATCAGTGTTGGTTGGACCAAATAGATGCTGACATCCACTTCACTCCTAAAAGTGAAGCAGCCAGCCAACAACTGTTTACATTTAACAATGATGCAGATTAATTTGATGAACAATTAGGCAGCAATTAAAATATATGAGCAGCTCAGTTTTAGAAATGTTTGATGATTTTAAAAGTGGCATGTTTATATTAATTACACATCCCTTAAAAACTTAAGCATAAGATATATAAACCCTTTCCAAGGTAAAGATGATGTATTTTAGAAATCATGAAAAAGTGCTCAACATCTCTAATCATCAGGGAAACACAAATCAAAACCACAAGGTATCACCTCGTTAGAATGGCCATTATTAAAAAAAAAAAAAGAAATACCAAGTGTTGGTGAGGCTGTGAAGGAAAGGGAACTTTTGTGCACTGCTGGTGGGAATGTTAACTGGTGTAACCACTATGGAAAACAGTACAGCGGTTTCTCAAAAAGTTAAAAGTAGAAACACCATATGATCTAAAAATTCCACTTCTGGGTATTTATTCAAAGGAAACAGAAATACTAACTCAAAAAAGAGATATACACCCCTGTATTCAATGCAGCATTATCTACAATAGCCAAGATATGGAAACAACCTAGGTGTACATCAATGGATGAATGGATAATGAAAATGTGGTGTATGTATACTGTGGAATATCATTCACCCGTTAAAAAAGAAGGAATTCTTGCCATTTACAACATGGATGAAAACTAAGGGTATTATGTTAGGTGAAGTCAGTCAGAGAAAAACAAATACCATATAATCCACTTGCATGTGGAATCCACTCATGTTCCACTTATATGTGGAATCTTAAAAAAAAAAAGAAAAAACCCCAAGCTCACAGAGAGAACATATTGGCAGTTGCCAGAGGCAGGTGTCGGGGATGGAGAATGTGAGCAGCAAAATGGGTGAAGAGACAAAGGTACAAACTTTCAGTTATAAAATAGTCCTGTGGATATAATACATAACAGTGACTATAGTTAATAATACTGTATTGCATATTTGAAACTTGCTAAGTAAAATTAAATATCCTGTAACTACATATGGTGACAGATGTTAACCAGACTTGTGATCATTTTGCAATATATCCAAATTGGAAATTATGTTGTACACCTGAAATTAATGTAATGTTGAATGTTGATTATACCTCTCAATTAAAAGAAAAAAAAGGCAATGCTTTTTGGAGAGGAGATGATAAATCATGGGTCCCCTGCAGATAGGGGCATTGTTCTCAAACAGACCTATGACCTTGGAGACCTGGGCTAGAAAATTGGGTCCATTCTTGTCTTTTCTGGTTTTCACAAACAACTCTAACCAACCATGATTGTATGGGCAGAGGTGAGGGCTCAAGTCTCTAAGGTCACCCACCACATTCAAGTTCAGGGAGGTTTAGTTGCTGAAAATGATCAGACAGAAGCAGAACAGCACATATCCCAGTGAAAATGCTTACAATCAGACAAAACGGCCACCAAGCCGGTGAGTTTTTAGAGTTAGGGACAACATGGCAGTTAGAAATGTAGTGGAGAAAGAAGCTATTTGAGGATGAAAAAGTAGTATTTCTGGCCACTCCCACCACTGAATACACATTTACTAGGTGTGAATACCTAAATGCACCCCAGGATTTATTAAGAAACATGGTAACAGGAGATCAATTCTAGGCCTGGGTGACAGGTTTCTTTGTTTCATGAGGCTCACTTTCCAGCTTTCCTAGGCAATGCCCTGCACCTGTCACATCCTTCTCTCCCTGGCCCCCAGTGCACCCACCCTGAGACAGACATTAAGCTAGAGGTCCACAACCTACACTAGCAAAATGCCTCACCCCACATCAGCTTGCAAGGGGAGACCAACATAGTTTCCTTTTCTCTCATGGTTTCAGTGAGTCAACAAATTCTTCTCAATTATCATCACCTACCTTAGCCATAGAGTTTTTCACGGAAAGAAACTGCTTGACATACTACTGACTTAAATTTACTACCTGAAAAAAAAATGAACACATATGGCATGGCTACTCTCTGTTGTGTCAACTGTAAAGAACAGTACACACCCCCATGCCAAATTCTAAATTCTACCACCTCATCTGTATGTCACAACATGGTTGGCTAGCTGAAAACCATCTCCCGGGCTGCAATGTGACTTTAAGAGGAAATAAATTACCCCACAAATCTTTAGCAAATGTACAGCTAGACATAGCAGGAGTCTCATAGATACATATTTAAAGTTTCTCCTATGGGAATTTTGCAAGCAAACAAAATGATTTATTTAGCCAATTCAAACAAACTGTATCAAAACACACAAAGGCCTTGAGAAAAAATAACAGATTATTTGAAAATAAATAAATAATTCAAAGCAATTCCTGATGCAAAACATTTCACTCAGCTCTACAAAGACATGGTCATGTGCTCTGACAGGTTTCACCACTGCGTGCTCCCAAGTTAAACACAGCCAGCCCTAAGGTTATCTTGAATCCTTAATGTATGCCTGGAAGAAATACCTGCCAACCCCTTCATGACTAATGGGAAGATTATGTAGGGTCAAATGCTAACACAAGTAAATACAGATAATTTAGAGTTGTGCTCAATGCAGTACAGTAGCACGAGACATGTTGTCTTTTGAGCATCTGAAATGTGGTATGACTACAGAACTAAATGTTAATTTTCTTAATTTAAAATTTGATACTGTTACTGGCAAACTTTCAAATATGTTTAAGTATGCAATAAACTGGGTATGTGAATCTACTTTTTCAACTGAACAGTTTATGAAATCTACAGGTCAAGTATTCATGATGAAAATTTAGTTTCTGAATTGAGATGGACTGACTGTAAGGGAATACACAGTGGAGACTTAAGACTTGGCGTGAAAAGAAATGTAAAATATGTCACTAACATTTTTGTATATTGATTAAACTTAAAATATTTTGGATACAGTGGATTAAAGTACAGTATAAAATTAATTTCACTTTTTCAATGTGGTACCTAGAAAACTGAAAATGACAGAAGCCTTACATCGTATTTCTACTGGGCAGCGCTGTTTTACAGAGCACGGATCTGAAGTCTTAAGAACTCTGATGCCATCTACTGGATACACTCATAGAAAACAGGCCTGTGAGAAATGGTAAAACGGTTATTTGTGCTAATTCTTGAACTCTGGGTCTGAAATGGAAGAGGATGTTAACTGGGCTCACAAAACACTAAACTCATGTACACTGAGAGGATCAGTAGTAGGTTTATAGTCTTTGAAACCCTAGAGAAAATCTGACTTACTGTTACTCGGTGACCATGAGCCACTGTTCAGACTGCGTTGCTGTCTTCCTTAGGTGCCCTAGACGAGATTTAGTGACCCCTTTTGTGACCACTGGCTCCCATACTCCTCAGCCTATTGCTGCTTGACTAGTTTTCCTGTCCTTTCTTCACAATTAGCCCTGAGTCCTTCTGCTCTACCTTATAAATACATCTTTCTCATTACTTCTCTATTGTTTTCTTCCTTACCTTCCTTTTATGATTCTATGATGTTTTTTCTTAGTATTCCCATTTTTTGGCTCCTTCCCTTATGCCCTACAAGCTATTTCAGCTGATTTTGTAGGTTTAGCTTACATTGAGGTCTTTGATCCATTTTGAGTAGGTTTTGTATATGGCATAAGGCACAGTCCAAACCATTCTTTTGCATGTGCGATTCTCCCAAAATCATCTGTTGAATATTCTTTCCCCATTGGATGGTCTTGGCACCACTGTCAAAAATCAATTTACCATGGATGTATGTATTTATTTCTGGACTCTCTCAACTCCTATTCCAATGATTTGTGTGTTTACCCTTATGTCAGTAAGACAGTTTTGTTTCCTATAACTTGTAGCTAAGTCTTGAAATCAGGAAGTGTGAGTCAGAACTGTTTTTTTTTTCAAGATTGTTTTGGATATCCTGCATTCCTTGCAGCTCCATGTGAATTAGATCAGCTTATCAATTTCAGCTAAAAAAGGCAACCAGGTCAGTTGGTTTTAATGTATAAGAGGTATTTACCTGATTAGGCTGACAGGATGACCATTAACAGCACTGACAACTTTGCCCTTGATATGAAGTTGAGAAGCTAAATTTTCAAAAATCTGGGATTTCTAATACTGCTTGATATTGGGGCAACAGGCATTGAAGAAAGCCATGAGTCTGGAGCAAAGATGAACCTAAACAAACATTTAAATTCCAGATCTGCCATTTAGATGCCAGAGGACCTTGGAAAAGTCATTGACCCTCTCTGAACTCTTCGGAAATCTGTAATGGTGCCCCCATCAACATTGCTGAGCCTATGCCCATCACAGAGCCTGTGGGAAGTGGGCTCCTTTAGGTACCTGGAAGACCTGCCCTAGTCTGTTCCAATATTTAGACACATGAAGTCCTTCTGTAGTCTTGCTTACCCACCATTGTCAGCAAGGATGAAGGGACCTATCTGCCCCTCTTTCCAGCCCAACTCTATTCCAATCAGGCTTCTGAGGTGACTCCTGAGAGTGATGAGAGCCTACAGTGGGAGCAGCAGGGAGACAGCTGAGCTGAAAAACTACCCTTTAGAGCTAAGGAGCATCTCACTCTCTGACCAGGCTCAGGAGACACCATAAACACCCCAGTCATTCAACACACACTGAACACCGACTATCCATGTGTGGTGATAATCGTCACTTAGGATGGGATGACAATAAAGTGACTTCAACTCCTCCATTTCTAGATAATGAAGTTCTCCTCTATGGTCTTCTTTATTGTTTCAGATGGTAATGGCTTAACAGCCCACCAGCTTCAGGGTCCTTTGGAGACTAGATTACTTTGTCACCCACAATGTCCCCGCATTTGCCACTGTTTTACAGGCAAGAATTTCTTCTCACAGATGCTCCATCAACTGATCTGGAAGCTGAATCCTTGGAACAAAGACATCTGCAAGTTAGTATCTGCCAAAGTAAAGGAATGGAGCCCTTAAATATGAATAAGCTGTGGGAGTGGGTATGCAACAGACAAGGGTATAAGGTCCTCAGTGTCAAGTATTAGAGTATTTCCACTCTATCACAGCTCACACGTAAATCCAGGTGATATGTCTTCACACCAATTATAAAGAAATGAAAAGCCAAGTGACCACAGAGTTCCCACAGCACCATTCACTTTTTCCCTTGAGGACAAATCCAACCTGAAGTCTGTGTCTTCTAGGGAAAGGACCAGAAGGGAAAGGTACAATTCAGTCCCTACAGCTAAGTTAGTCTCTCTGCCCTGGAAGAAGAAGGCCCATCAACAGCACAGACCCATCTCAGCACACTTCTCAAGTTTCATGTCACTTGTTTATAATATGATAACATATCATCCAAAGTTTCGAAAGTGACCGGAGGGGCTTGTGGTGGGCTACTGGGGGCAGGAGCGGCTGATGCCTGTGAAGAGCCAGCCTCCTGGCCGGGGCCCTGCCCTGGGGCATTCTGTGCAGGTGCAGGTCTGCTCCACGACTGGCTACTGAAAGAACCAGTTCTCTTTGGACCCACAAAGTAATCCGATGGTGGGGCAAACTCAGGATCTCTCTCAGCCCGGAGATCTGACTGCCTCTTCGACCAATATCCGAAGGAAAATTCTAGTTAAAAACAAGAGAGTATTATTAGAATTGATTGGATCTGTTGAATTTTTACTGTTACTACTTTTCAATTATTGTGTATACTCCTTAAAAGCCACCTCCAATTTCCTGGAGAACAAAGACAGCAATAACAAAATTAGAATACAAAGATACAAGGCATGTGTAATGCCGAGAGAAGTATAAGGAACCAGGCTAAGAAAAGGCAGTGATTGCTCCCAGCAGAAGAAAGGTTTGAGGAAGGTTCTCTGGGGAAGGATGGTAGGCTCTGGAAACACTGTGAAAAAGGTCCAGGAATTACATTCAAGAGAAAAATATAAAACTCAAATCATTTGCTTAACATGATGTTTCAAGTACTTCACAACAAAACAAAAAATTGCGCTTTATTGAGTTTTAGAAGACACAAGAGGCACCTGTCCAAATCCAATTTGGTATTTCAGCTCTATTTCTATCAGCAGCACCATCAAAGACACGCACCTGTTTGCTATCTTTTAGTTTAGTTTTGGATCCCATTACCTGGAACAGCATGAGTTAATGTACTACTGAAACAATCTCTTTCAAAGAGGCAGAAACCACATAGTCTTCTTCCAAAGAAAGGCTTCTGTGGGCACCATGGTGTATTTACAGAAAGAAGGTATAAAAAGTTTTGCATAAACTAACAGAACCATAGGTAAATCCAGATAAATTCTGGCACGCACACTATTTTTTCAACTGAACACAGGAGACAGCTAAAACACAGATGACACTGAAATATCACACCTTCTTAAGATTTTAAAAAGGAGTTCCTGAGAAATGGCATTGCACAGCTATAAAACCACAAGGGCAGCATGAATTTTAAAACACTTCGGTCAAGTGCTTCTAAAAAAAAAATCATCCCTTTGAAATGGTATGTTGTAGACCCTGGTCTTTTGTAATCACACTTTCTAATGTTCTTGTTTACAAACAGCTGATGTCTGGGTATTGAGAAGATACAAGTTCAAGGTTCTGGAAAATTCCTTAAGCCTCAAATGACCACTACGACTCACCAGAATCATACTCTGATCAGGAGAACCAGAAAAATCTCCTGTGCAAGACCCATCAGCGGAAGGTTTCACACCACGAAGGCCCCCTTTCCCTTACCTTTTCCTCGGTCCCACTCTCGGATGTGTGGCACCCCAGGCCTGGTATCCTTCCTCTCCTGAATGATGACTTCTACTTTGCTACTCTGGGTAGCAGCATGCAGAGTCGGCTCGGCCTCTGGTGCTGCAGGCAAAGGCCCAATAACACCTCCATCTATTTCTTGCAAGAAAATAGGACATCATTATAATAAAGGCTAAAGCTATTTAAACAAACAAACATTAAATAGAACACGCTAAACCTGGGAGTAAAAGTAATGATGGGTATTTAATGGGCATCTTTCATGTGCCAGTCAGCAGGCTAGGTTCATGTAATGACTCTAATGGAGCCATAGTGTTTCTATTTTACAGATGAGGAAAATTAAGCTCAGAAATGCTATACAGGTAGAAGGTGACAAGGACCAGGACCCAAACCCGGTTGGGTGGATTTCACAGTTTCTGTGGTTCCTGCTGTGCCACTCTGCTTCCTCAGACAATCAATCAAAGAACACTGGAAATCGCCAATTACTCAACTGAAGTAAAAGTCTCAAAGCAAGGGCCCTCGGGGTGACAAAGAGCTGGAACCCGGCAATAGGCTGCAGGCTACCCAACTTTGGCCATATTTTAAACGAAAATGGATTTTTTGAAAACACTGTGGTAGCACTTCACACCTTACAGAAACGACAGACATTCAGGAGCAGAGCAAAAATAGAGAAACAATACACTATGCTTACCATGTTACGGGGAGAGAGTATTTATACGAAACTAAACAGACAACCTTTTAACTCCTAAATGTTTCTTGTCTCTTTCAAAGCTAAACTGAAGTTGTGTTCAGAATTAGAAAATGGCCCATGGCTTAGCACAAGGTTTCTAAGAGAGCTGGAAAGGTTTCGATATGCCTCTAACATCCACACTCCCCTTCTTCCTTTAAAAAATAGACCAGCTCCAGTTTCAGCTGAGAACATGCCTACTTGCCAGAGAGGCCATTCCTCAGCCTCCCCTGCTGATGGGGGTGACCAACGGTCTATGTCTGGGCAAGCGGGATGTAAACACACAGGTTGTGTGTGACTTCCAACTCACATTCCTAATAAAGATGCTGGTTCCCCTCCCCTTTACCCCCTTCCCTGGGGCTGGATCCTGAATAGGTGCTGGGGAGCAAGCTTCAACCATGCAGGTGAGGGCAACTCTAGGAATGGCAGGAACAGCAAGACAGGACAAAGCCAGGGACGGGTGAGCATACTGGGTGGAACTCCTACCCAAGGACCGGCCTGGGCGGTACCACTTCCGATGTTAAAATAGAGAAACAGGCTTCCATCCTGTTGGAGCCAGTCTGTATAGGGTGTATAGGGTCTCTGTCACAGCAGTTTCGCCCAGACTAGCCTAACTCACACAGTGAGCTAGCTGGACCATGATATTTAATAGTGTTTCCAAGGGTTTTAACATTCCTTCAGTAAGCTGTCTATATTCATATTTATAAAATTCCTCATTATCTGACTTTTTGATGTATTTAACATAAATTAATACATAGTGACCAAAACAAACTGCAGCCATAGCAAAAGAAATTAGGTCTAAAAACATGTACATGCCATAAACTATACCTTATAATATCTTTTGTTTAAGTAAGTCTGTTACTAAACCATGTTGTTTCATGAAGCAACACAATGTACTGTTTGTTACTTTCCTTGTCTATATAAAAAGATTCTTTGGAGGGTCATTCCGCCTCACTTGGGTTATAAAAACTGCTCCTGGCAGTTCTTCAAAGCTATGCTGCTTGCCTAGAGAACACAACTAAATGGCTCATTTCCATATTGTTAGTCCCATTAGCAAGATAACAATGAAACTAAAATTTTTCCTTTTCAAGTTTAGAAACACGAGGCATGATATACCTCCATTTTCTTCCTCTGTGCCATCTTCTTTTGATTTTTTCATCTTTTTTTGTCGGAGTTTAGCAAGTCTTGCTTCTAACATAGCCTTTCGTTTTTCTTTTATGTTTTCTCGTTTTGTTCTCTGATCTGTTGTCTGAACAAAAAATAGGAAAATCATTTACTTTAAGCCACATTCATAATATTTGTTTAAAAGGGTGAAATAATTTTATTTTAAAAATAGACGAATTGATTTTCATGCCATCCCTAAGAAGCTATCCTTGACATCTTCAAAATGAAAACCTATGAAATACTCTTACACAAGACATCTAATGTTTTTTGAAGCTTAGTAAGAGTTTACAAATCATCTTGAAATGTTTAAAATTCAAGAAAACCAACCACTTCTGTTCCACTTCTTTATCCCTTAGACAACTATTTTCTTACCTAGGCCACTGCAAAGTACCATATTTGAAACCAAATTTAAGATATCCCAGTTACACAGGTAACTTCTAAGAGCTATAATCTTAAAGCCTAAAACACCAAAACAGTATGGCAATGACCTTTACAAACCCTGTAATAGAATTCTAATATTGATAAATAAAAGTGATAAGACTGTCACTATTTGCAAATAACATGATAACACATACGGAAAACCCTAAAGACTATCAAAAATCTGTTAAAACTAATAAATGTCTGTAGTTGCAGGATAGAAAATCAATACACAAAAAATCTATTGCATTTCTATATGCTAGTAACAAGCTATCAGAAAGAGAAATTAAGAAAACAACCCCATTTACAACTGCATCAAAAACAACAAAGTATCTAGGAATAAATTTAACCATGGAGGTTAAAGACCCATACACTGACAAGTATAAGACACTGAGAAAGAAATTGAAAAAGACATAATGGAAAGATAGTCAATGCTCATAGACTGGAAGAATTCACATTGTTAAAATATTCCATATTACTCAAAGCAATCTATAGATTTAATCCCTATCAGAATTTTAGTGGTATTTTTCATATAAATGGAACCAACACTAAAATGTATATGGAGCTACAGAAGACCCTCAATAGCCACAGCAATCTCGATAAAGAAGAACAAAGTTAGAGGTATCACGCTGTTGATTTCAAACTGTATGACAAAGATATAATAACCAAAACAGTATGGTACTGGCATAAAAACAGATACATAGATCAATGGAACAAATAGGGAGCCCAGAAAAGAACCAAGCATATACTATGGGGAAAGGATAGTCTCTTCAATAGTACTGGAAAAACTGCACAGCCACATGCAAAAGAATGAAACTGGACCACTATCTGATACTGTACACAAATATTATCTCAAAAAGGATTAAAGACTTGAACATAAGACCTGAAAACATAAATTTCCAGAAGGAAACACAAGCAGTAAACTCCTTACTGCAGGTATTAACAATAATTTTTTTGGATTTGACACCAAGTACAAGCAGTTAAGTTGGACTGTATCAAACGAAAAAGCTTCTACACAGCAAAAGAAACCATCAACAAAATAATAAGGCATCCAACTGAAAATGGGACAAAATATCTGCCAACCATATACCTGGTATGTGTACATATACATAATACCTAAAGTACATGAGAACTCATACATCTCAATAGCAAAAGCAAAAAAAAAAAAATCCAATTTAAAAATGGGCAGCTAATCTAAACATTTTTCCAAAGACATACAGATGTCCAACAGGTACATAAAAGATGCTCAACATCACTTACAATCAGAGAAATGCAAATAAAAATCATGAAATATCACCTCATATCTGCTACAATGGCTATTATCAAAAAGACAAGAAATAACAAGTGTTGGCAAGGATGTGGAGAAAAGGCAACCTTCACACACTGTTGGTGGGAATATAAATTGATATAGCCACTATGGAAACCAGTATGAAGGTTCCTCAAAATATTAAAAATGGCACTATATGATCTAGCAATTCTGCTTCCGGATATTTATCCAAACAAAACAAAAACACTAATTCAAAAAGATATCTGTACCCCATATATTCACTGCAGCATTATCTAAAATAGCCAAGATATAGAAACAACCTGAGTGTCCACCAATAAATGAATGGATAAAGAAAATGTGATACACACATACAAATGGAATATTATTCAGCCATTTTAGACAGAATAAAATCTTGCCTTTTGCAACAACATGGACAAAACTTGAGATCACATGATGATAAGTGAATAAATCAGGTAAAACTTCTAGTCAAGTCACGGGGATGTCATGTGCAGCATGGTGACTATAAATATTACTACAAAATATGACTATACTGTGGCATATTTGAAAGTTGCTGAGGGGGTAGATCTTCAAAGTTTTCATGACATGAAAAAAATTTGTAACTATGCATGGTGACAGATGGTAACTAGACTTAATCATGCATCATTTTAAAGTGTATACAAATCCTAAAATCATGTTATACAGCTGAAACTAGTATGTTATATGTCAATTACACTTCAGTAAAATAAATAAAATATCTGGTTTATGCCTAAAGAGTAGTTATTAAATAACAGAAATACCAGTCTTTAATAAAATTCAAAGTTTACTCTGATGAATTTTGTCCATCACTGCTCGGAATATTAACTATTAAATAAAGTATTTTTTTCAAAAAATAGAAGCATTCTGATAATCAATTTAAATTTTAATTAATTTACTAGATTTTTTTGCAGTATGGTCCAGTAAGACACCAACTGCTCAAATTCTTCTTAACGTCAACTGAATTTAATCTAGTACGTACCTGTTCACGCAGCATCTCTAACGTTTTCATTTGCTTGTTTCTCAGCTCTTTATCTCGGGCAAAGGCAAAGTATCCAACACCAAGTTGCCGGGCCTCTGAAATAAGTCAAAATAATTCAAAAGATTAGATTCCCCTGATCAGTAAATTAGACTCAGGCCGAACTCCCTACCAACGCAAAAAGAAGCACAGCAATATCGGAGTAAGTTTAAAAAGAAAACACAGGTAAGCCGAAGCAAAAGAAACTGTTTTCATCCTCTTGGCGGAGTGATAAGCATAACAAAGATTCATTAACTCTTCAGTCACAGGCCATTTCCACTTCTACTGCAGAGCAAGCTTGGGTTAACAGACCCTCTGTTACGAAAACAGTCCCAACATGAATCCTTTTTAGGCTATGAAGTGAACAGCAGGGATATTCTCAATTTCCAAACCAGAATCTTTTATTTCTTCATAAAAGCTGCTGCTTTATGAATACTTCCCCTTATGCTTGTCATTAGTTCAAGATAAAAAATAATAATGATTTAAAAAGCTGCAAGATGATTATACCATTTTCACGAATGTCTTCGTAATGTATGGGCCCCATTGGCCTTTTTAGGGCCTCTCGCTCTTCCTCCTCCCACTGCTGGCGCTGAAGTTCTTTCCTCATATCTTCAGACAGTAAGGTTTTCTCATTAGCAGGGCTAACAAAACTAGTAGAACAGAACAGAACCTATATTTAGATTAAGAGCAGTTAGAAGCAATGCTTCAGTTCAATCACAGACAAGAAACTCTAGCTGATGGAAAAGATAGCTCCCTATGGAGGTTTCTGATCCACACCACCACTGGCAAATTGTGAAAATGTTTTCCTTTAAGTCAAAGAGCAGACTTGTTACATTAGCATAATGGAACCGTGCCTCAGGATGAAGCATATCACTTTCCTTTCCCACCCTAGCCTGGGCTGAATAGAGGGAGGCCACCCACACAGGAAGGAGGAGCCCTGGCCCTCCTCTGGGCAGTCTTCCCTGCAGAAGCTGCAGAACGCTGTGGCCCAGACAGTGCCTCGTGTCCTGTCAGGCAGCTCAGGCTCCTGCACATCTTCCCCTGTGCCGAGCCCAGGCCTACCTGAACCTGGAAGACTCTGACAAGGTGGACCTTCTTCCAACACTTTGCATAGAAAAGCCATCCTTGGTGAAGATAATTTTATTTCCTGGGAAATTTTAGCAAGTTATCTCTTAGGGGTATCTTAGGCCCAATGGAAAAATATCTAGTCAAAAAGGCCCTTACTTTAACATGCAAACATTTTAAAGAGTTAATAAGCTACTCACCCCCACTTGCTGTGGAATAACAAAGTACATATTCTTAAACATCTTTCTCCACAGAAGTTTGTTTATTGGTTTGGTTTGTGTTCATTCCATATTTGTTACTTTATAATTAGACATCCTTCCAAGCTCTAACCTTATCCCATCTAGTAGATACACATTATGGATGATCAACCACTCAGGTTGTTCCCTGAGTGTGGTTTATGTGTGTATGCTAACCTCGGAAAACTGCTTCGGCAAATATTCTCTTTTTTTAAATTAAGGTATCACTGATATACATTCCTATGAAGGTTTCACAAGAAAAACAATGTGGTTGCTACATTCACCCATATTATTAAGCGACCCCTATACCCCATTGCAGTAACTGTCCATCAGTGTAGTACGATGCCACAGAGTCACTACTTGTCTTCTCTGTGCTACACTGTCTTCCCCATGACCCCCGACCCCATCAGCAAAAATTCTTATACATAAAAAAAATCTTGCTGGAGCACCAAAGATAATTAACTAAAAACAGCCTCACCCACAAAACAATCCCTGTGTCTGCATTTCAAATCTGGGCAATGCTTTGCATATCACATACTTACAGCCTCCCCTGAAGATTTTTATCCATTTCCAGCAGATCTGGCAAATCCTTTTTCATACAGCGTCGGGATCGCCCTAAAGAATCCACATAATCCACCCTGAAATAAAGGTGAAAGATATGAAAAGGCTTTGTACATGACATATGGCTCTCAAGCTGAAAAACTGGTACAGGGTAAAAAATTAATGCAGGCCTCAACCAAGAAAAACCCCCAACCTGAGAATACTACCACTGATAAGAACCTGCTTTTTAAAATTAAAAGTTGACATACAATAAGCTCATTGTGCCCTTTATTAAATCTTAGTTTTAGAAACTATAGAAAATGATCAATCATGTGTGTCTCTGATTTCAAAGTTAAATACCCCCCAGAGACCCCTGCTGCAGTATCTCTGAACTTACTTTAATCTGGTTTAAACAATTCCAAATATTGTACCAGCACCATAATTACTTTGCTCTGTACCAGATTCTCAACTTGTTAATTTCTTCACAATCTTCCCAAATCTGACTTTTTGTTCTTCTAATTGGTACAATTCTTGCTAATGAATTAAAAACTTCTTAATACAAGTCATACTATTTGGGTGACTCTTTTTAATTAGGAGGAGGCCAAGCAACACACATTCTGTACCACAAAAGCACCTTAACTGTGGGCGGGTCTGCTGGCCTTCACCCTCAGTTCCTCTTTCCTGCTCTTTGCCAAACTAGACAGTAGTTACAGCCAGGCAGACAGCACAGCAAAACTGACTTCCTACAGTAAGAAATACAGTCAGCTTTTCATGGAAAACATGTCATTTGCATTATGAGGCAACAGATTTTTTTATTTTTTATATTTTGGGCAGGGAATTTCCCACAGCCTTTAGCAAGATACTAAAAACACAGAGAGAGGCCAGCTCAGGGTCGGATTCCCATGTATGTGGCTTTGCTATTGTTAGCAATTGTTTTCCTCTCACTCATCTGGTTCCGATCCTCCGACCTTGGTTTAGAGGCTGACTGTCGGGAATCCATTACTGCAGTCCTAGAGCGGGTCAGCACAGGAAATAAAACCTCCAACTGCAGAAGGCAGTTTCTTTCTTCCGCCTCTTCTTTTCCCTTTTGTTTTTAATGAATGGAGAAAGAAACTGTCTAGCCAGGAGGTCTCAGTAATTCTTTACAGTATTTATGTCAAAAGATTTTCCACTACCTGGAACTTTACTGAAAGGATTTTACAAGTACTCACAATTCTGGAGCCTGACTGAAAAACAAGAAAGTATCAGACTGCAGACTTGCTTGCAGTGCGTCTTCCCCATGTGACACCTTCAAGTGCCCTCCAAACTCTTCAAATCACGGACAAATTGCTTATAATCACTCAGGAATTAATAAGGGAAAAAAAGGCATTAAACCTTTCAAAGGAATTGAGATCTCTGCTATGAAATGCAACCAAAGGCTATTCTGTTTCTGGAGAAGGCCTCAGGCCTCCACAACATAGAGATCTCTCCAAAACAGAAGTGGGAGACAGTAGCCAGGGACCTCTCTGTCCTCGACAACCCTGGGCAGCTCTCAGGGAAGGAGTCACTGGAGGCACAGAGTCAGAGGAGGGCTCAGGGCTGTGCCGCCTGCAAAGGGCTGGCGTAGGGAGTCAAGGCACGTGTCCATGAAATGCTTCCTAACAGCAGCAGGGAAGATGTAAAAACTATTTAAAATTTGTCTCAAATCTTTTTCTAGTAATGAGGTCAGTTATGTGCCAGTAATAAAGAAAAGGTAAGACCCAAAGGAGCAGAAAGCATATTTAAGCGCCACCAGAGTTCAGACGAGGGAGAAGTCCCTGAGACTGGGGACAAGCGGAGGAGAGCCAGTTGGAGGAGACCACACTGAGCACGGTTCTCCTGTGGTGGCCAGCAGCCAGCAAGCAGCCAGCCAGCCTACCCAAGTACACTTCTAGAAGGTAGGTGAGAAGACACCCATTCTGTCCCAATGCGAATGTTATTTCTGGACCAACGTGGACACCCTCCACAGTACGGGGAGGCACATGCTCTGTAACCCTTCACAGCTGGGGCGGCTTCCTTCCGCACATCAGTGACTCCTGCCCACGGGGCCAATGGCTGACAAAGGTCAACAAATTCCTCCAACAACCCTAAGCAGTCCCTAACCCTAACAAATACCTCACATGAAAATGGGTGGGCTCCACGTAGCAGGAGGGTGGGTGGGCAGGGCAATTCCTAGGACATTTTCATAGCACTACTCCATGTCTATCCAATTTTAAGCACTTCTGAATAACTTTCTAAAGAAAATCTGTACAATGGAATTTTCATCCTGGTCTCCTTAATGACTGTCGCATTGGTCTCTGCAAGAAAAGACCAGTTTGGCTTCCCTGTCATTCACTTACATGTAAGTAAAATTCAGAGTAGTTTCAATAAAGGTTTACAAAATGTCTGCCTATCCTCCACAGACAGCAGCTCCTGAGTAGCCTAGAAAACTCCTATCTCCTGAAGAGCAGCTAAGGCAAATGGTAAGGGAAACTACGCATCGCCATCACTGTTTTACCGGTGAGGAAAGAGCCTCCAAGAGGACAGGAACTTGATCAAGATTAAATCGTCGAGATGTGGAGCTAGTGCTGTGCAGGTCCAAGGTCCTCGATGCCTACACCACACTGCCAGACAATGTCACAGCCAGAGTAGGATTTACTGGCCGACCTCTGCCAGCCTCTTTTCTCTGGAAATGGAGATCACCACTACCTAGACCATAACTCTCCATGATGTCTGAGTAACAACACATGGGCACAGCACCCCGGGGAACAAAGGTATGTATTTCTGCCTAAACAACTCTTTCACATCAGTGACACAGGAGTACCAATGCCCCCTACAGCTGGCAGTGCTTGTACAAAATAACATTTATAATTATTTCTTCTTTGGAGCTACTGCTTCTACATCTGTAAATCCACTCTTACTTAGTGAAGTCTCAAAAAAAAAGAAAACTGAGGAATAAAGAGAAGTAATTTGATAACAACCAAGTTAAAATCACTCTCGAGAAGTAAACACAAGTCTGATGATGTTAACATGATCAAATCTCAGAACATCACCCACCATTCCTCACTGGGGTCCTGAGGAGGAGGTATATCTTTTTCAGAAAGATTTTCTTCATCATCGTCTCTTTCACCTGACTTTGCAGCATCTTTGTGGGCACCAAACATCTCCATTTCTTTGTGTTTGTCTATAATCTTCTGTGTGAAATCCACAAGGTACATATCTTCCACTTCTTCATCTAGGACATAAAAATCAATTTTCAGATTCTTGACATGGAAAAAGAAAACCACACACAGAATTAATATGAAGCAGTCATACTCAGTGCTGGGTGGCTACGTCGCCCCTGATGGTGGACTAGTCAATGCTTCCATCCCCAGAATACTCGCAAAGACAAAAGGCACAGAGCCACCACAGGACCTGGCAGGGAAGCTGTTAACAGGCTATCAGAAACATACACCACACAAAACATCCTGAAGAAGCCTAAAGCTTTCTGCTGCCTTGGCAATACACTGAGGGAGCAATACTGTAGCAGAATGCGATTTTAAGAGAACAAAAACATTTGATTTCAAGAGACTCATATAATAGCCAATTACGTAATACAGAAACAGAACTGCATTTCTCAAGTTGTGAGACCAGAACAACACACCCCTGTTGCTATGGTAATGCACCTCTCTAATCACGTGGACTGATCACTTAACCTTACTCATACTGTTGTGCTACAGTCTTTTAAGGGCCACAGCATAGATGAAGGAAGTCATCTCAATTCTTTTCAATCCAATGAACACCACTTTCAGGCAAGGCATGGTGCCAGATCTGCAGGGCATAGAGATGTGTAAGATGCTGTCTGTCCTCAGGACTTATGAACTCCTTGAGCTAAAATATACACTCCAAGTTAAATAGCAAATCCATGACTTTACCCAGGATAGTCGATGTATTTGCAAATAATGTTTACATGAAATTTAACTATACGAGATTTAACATGTGGTCACTTAAGTTTTTCTCTGAAGACAGAGATTAAGCCTATAGAACAGATATGAGGTCCCCTACTACCAGGTACTCATGTTACCCACAGTGTACAGCAGAGAATTACTGAGGCTCCAAAACTTAACTCGCCTAAACACAGGTCCAATATGCCAATCAGGAGGTGAGCCTGCCAGTTTGGACAGAACCAGTCTCCACAGCCACAGGTACACTCCTTTAGACCTGATTTCCATATTAACGATGTAAGTAAACTTTGAATTAAAAGAAAAAAGACTTTAATTTAAAAAAAGATAAGCCATAAAATAACTCAAGTGGGAAACAAATGTACTTGCCCAAAGCTGTTTCTAGATGAGTAATAGTGAGGCCACTTGATTCTCACACGTTCTGCTGTTCCTTCAGGTGGAAGGCAAAGCCTCTCCCCATGTCCCCCAGCTTTGAGAGTGCCTGCCCTTCCCATGTTGGGCTCTCCGCCATGCAGGGAACACAGCTCTGCTGTCCGGGAGGGTTTAGCGGGCCTGACAGCCAATGACCGCTGCCCCCTTTCCCAGCCATGCTAGTCTGCCCTGCCAATTCTGGTCTTCTCTGCTCTCTGCTCAGCTGCTCTCACCACCCTCCTCCTGCAGAATCCCTTCCTCTACCTCTCCAAAGCCTTTAAGACCCTACCAGAGCACACGTTCTCCCTAAAGACTTCCACACATGCCTTCTGGCAATGAAACACACAAGGCCTTGTAAAACCTCTCCTGCTGTTGTCTAGCTACAGGTCGGTTTTCTTATTCTGAGGGTGGGGGGTGGGCATGAGGAAAAGGGGGATATTCACATTATTATTATGTTTAAGGCAATTATAAGCACATCACTGAAACAATAGAAAACAGAGAAAAACAGGTAAAAGGAAACATTTCATTCCAGCACTCTGATATAACCATAATTCCTCCCAGTTTTTTTTTAACATGGCTGTAATTGTTCATGATTGTAGCCTATGAAGCCCTTGTTTCCTTTTTCTGCGCACTTTCTCTCCACTGATTACACCCTGGAGAACAGGCAGGGGGTCTGGCTTACACTGTACTTGCCTGTCCCCTCATGCTACCTAATGTGTCCCGGCACCCACTGTGCTGCTGAAAATTATTACTGATTTTCTTGTCTCTGTGCTGGCACAGAAAGTAATCAATTTGATTTTTTAAATTTCTCCCTAGTCTTACAGTTAATTTTAACAAATAATGAAATACCACAGGGCTACTGCAGAATAAGGAACACAGAATATAAAGAAGTAGAAATAATATTAGTTACCTATAAAGTCTCCTTTAGTCATTTTTTCATATAATTTGGCTTTTTCTTCCAATTTCTCCCTAGGAGAAAAAAAGACAAGTATTAGAATGGTCTCAGAACTGCCACTCCTGGTGAGGCTGCCCCACCTCTGGCTTGACTGAAGCAGCCTACACGAGACGCCCAGCCTGATAGCACGGCAGCCTTAACCCCACCGAGGGACCCTCTGACTTGGCGATATCTGCTTTGCCAACTAAATGTAAGCTCCATGAGAACATGGCTCCTATTTCCCTTATGCATGACTGTATCCCAGTACCTAAAAAGTCCCTGGAACATAATTGGTACTCAATTAGTAGCTGATGAATGAACAAATCAATCAATAAAGATTTCAACTTAATTTAAATGTCAAATACAACTTAAATACTAAAAAAAGAGATGTCTTAAACAAAAACATCGCCTATTTGTAATCATCCAAATGGATCACCAAATTCAATACTCTTGGCATTACCACTTTTAAACAAGGGTCCCTGGTCATCCATGGTTTATTGGGCTTCTCTAAGGGAACCAGAGACCAACTTCTTTTAGGTCTGTTTATAATGCCTGCTTTATACAGAGCATGAATACTTTCTTCATGACACATAGCTAATAAAAAATAAACATCAACCATAGTATTTCAATAAAGCAGCCTCTTTGCTCACGTTAACTCTGGTGATTTTATTTATTAGTGGGCACAGACCAGGTAAGACAGCTAGCAATTCTTTATTCTAGAAATACTTAATGATGGTAAAGAGAAGCACCAAAGAGGTCATCTGAGCTTTCACTTGTGAAGATAACACTTAATCATGATGGAAAATGGCATTTCTAATGGTGTCCCAAGGCAATAAAGTCCCTTGGTCACAGTGCTGTGTACTCTGGAACAAGTTACTTGAACTCCTTTGTATGTCAATTCCCACACCTGAAATAGAGGAAAAAAACAGCACTGCCTCTTAGGGCCATCATGAAGATTAATTAGACAACACACGTAAAAAATGCCATCAGGTATGTCATCCTCAACTTTGTCACTTATGTCAGAAAGTCTCCTCTTTCATTTACATATTCATTCAACAAGTACTTATTGCATGCCTCCTTTGTGCCAAGCATTATTGTAGATGCTGTGGACAAGTCAGAGTCCCAACTCTCAGGGAGTTTACATTCTAGAAGAGGAGAAAGACAACCAATAAATCAATGAAATGGAGGATTTCAGACAGAAGTGTTGCAAAGGGAAGGAAATAAAAGCAGGTATCAAATGGGCCCTCTGTCATGCTCTTATAAAGAGTGCTCTGTGGACCAGCTTAGTCACGTCAACTTCTAGAAAGTTAAGTTGCTCTATTTCAGAGAGGGCTTAATGTATCAGCTGTGTCATCGTAGAATTTTACTGTCTAAGTGAAAATTAAAATTTAGATTACTTGACTTCAAAATACAAAGTGAAACACAAAACCCAGGTGTCAGAACAGAGTGACTGGGCAGGATGCTATGTTAGAGTGGGTGTGGAAACCTCTGTCAGCTAAGAAGCCAACCACGGGAGAAAGCAAGTCAGGCAGAGGACAGATGAAGTAGGAATGAGCTTGACACGTCCAAAGAGAGATGAGGTGCTGAGCAGAGAGTGGTACAAAATAGAGACAGACACAGGCAGGCACAAGAGCGTATGTATGGGAAAGGACAAGAAGTTTGGATGCAGTGTAACAGAAAGATGGCAGGACGAGCCTGCAAGTGAATAATGGAGACAGAGGAAGAATGGAGAAATGGCCGTTGGACTTAGTAGATGAGGAAATGATTCATGACTTGAAAGAGCAATTTCTTCAGTGGAGTAAGAACGATGGAATGCAGAGAATAAGAGCACGGGACACTTCTGTGGAAGGCACTGTATCAGACACCACGGACCTCCTTCGATCCCCTAAGTAGCTTCATGGGCTAAGTGTTAACCACCTCAGTTCACAGACAGGGCAAGAGTCTAAATGGAGAAGTAACTTGCTACTTTATACCTCATGAAACTGTCCCTGCCTGTTTTGAGCTCAGGAGAGACGCAGGAGTCTTACAGACCATGGGCAAACCTGGTTCCTCCACAAAGTACCGCATAAAAAATTACTGTATAAAAATCACAGCAGAGTACCAAGGGAAACTCTGTTATACAGAGTAAATGGTAAAACCTTAGGCACCTTTCAACAACATTAAAATTCTGAGAGTATTTCCAATAGTGAGAAAGACATCTAAAAAAGTAATACATCTTTATGTAAAGTGTCAGTCTGCTGGGGACAGGTCAAACACCTCAAAAAATAATCCATCAAATAGGCTAATATTCTGCCTTCTATTTTCAAAGCCAAAAGAGCTCTGCAACCTTAGCAACCACTGTTTACAACCGCAGAGTTTTGACTATGCAATGGATCCAAAAGCACATGAGGCAGTCATGGCAGATAGCAAAACGTAGTATTCTCTGAGTCTCGGGTGATCCAGCAAATAGATCCTGCAAGAACGCCAGCTCATCAGTGAGATGAAAACATAACGCAGACAATGAATTAGAGAAGTCATCATTTAAATTCATTAATGTAACTAATAAATGGCAAGACTCATTGGTGATGACAAAACCACTATGTGGGAATATGTGAGCAGGATATTCAGTCTCAGTTTCCCTCCTTAGATCATTATTAATTACAAATGGGAAGAGAACTTTGCAGTGGAAAAATTTGGCAGACCTACCTTAGCAGACTGATCAAACTTATCATCAACAAGGATGCCTCACACTGATACTATGACACTCCTGATGCGGTCTGATGGGAGGGACCCGTCATTGCCTGCCTCGTGTTCTCACCAGAAACCGTCAGTGTGACTCTGATCAGACTGGGACATTGTGGGAACAATGGGCCTGGACTCTCCAAAAATGCCAATGGTATAACGACAACAAAAAAGCAAGGAAACTGTCCTGGATTAAATGAGACTAAAGAGACAGGACAACTAAATTCAATATGTAATCTTTAACTGAATCCCAGATTAAATTATTTTTAAAGCTATATAAAGGACTTAACTGTATTAGAATAAGTGGTGAACTCTGAAACAGACCATGTAATTGATAATACTATTTTTTTTTTGAGAGGGCATCTCTCATATTTATTGATCAAATGGTTGTTAACAACAAAAAAATTCTGTATAGGGGGGTCATTGCTCAATGCACAATCATTAATCCATCTCAAGCCTAATTCTCGTCAGTCTCCAATCTTCTGAAGCATAACGAACAAGTTCTTACATGGTGAACAGTACAAGGGCATTCATCACAGAAACTTTCGGTTTTGATCACGTATTATGAACTATAAACAATCAGGTCAAATATGAATATTCGTTTGATTTTTATACTTGATTTATATGTGGATCCCACATTTCTCCCTTTATTATTATTATTTTTATTTTTTATAAAATGCTGAAGTGGTAGGTAGATGCAAGATAAAGGTAGAAAACATAGTTTAGTGTTGTAAGAGAGCAATTGTAGATGATCATGTGGTGTGCCTGTAGACTATGTGCTAATCCGAGCTAGACAAGGGCAATAAAACATCCACAGATGCAGAAGCTTTCTCTCAAAACAGGGGGGGTGAGGTTCTAAGCTTCACCACTGTTGTTCCCTGATTTCTCACCTGATGGCCCCCCTGCGACTGTGCCTGTCGTAGGTTGTTCCTCCCTTGAGGAATCTTACCCGTCTCTGGCTAACCAGTCATCTTCCAGGGCCATAAGGGGAAATGTAAAGTTGGTAAGTGAGAGAGAAGCCAGTAATACTATTTTTTAAGTGTTAAATTTCTTGGGTCTGACAGTAGTATTGTGGTTATGTAGGAGAATGTCCTTGTTCCTAGGAGAGATATATGCTGAAATATTTAGAGGTCAAGAATGAGGTCTAACAAAGTTTCTACACACACACACACACACACACACACACACACACACGTCAAAAGTATTAGAATATTCCTTGTATTTGTCTTTCAATTTTCTGCTTAAGTTTTTCAAAATAAAAAATTCGGAGGTTTTTCATTTGCACCTTAACAAAGGCTCAAAGTGGGACTCTGTTTCCAATCTTTTAAACTGAGGTTACGTCCTGTCTTCTTATAAGGCCAAAAATATCTGCAAATTCAATTACTTTTAGAGTATATTTCGTATCTACATTTATATAAAACATATTAAAGGATTTTGGCTAAAAGGTTGACAAAATTAAAACTGTAAATCAAAACAGCACAAGCTGAAGTGTCGCTCCTTTGCTCAGGGGGCCTCGACTGCATTCAGCAGGGCCCACAGTACCTCGCCTTGTCTAAAGTCTTCTGCTCCTCAATCTTCTGTTCAGTATCCTTCTCAGCTCGATTGGAAACTCCTGCATTCTGTTTGCTCCAGATACTTGGTTTCTGGAGAGTAATTTACAAAGATAAAACAGAAACACCAAATGATTACAAAAAAATCTCTACTTGTACATCAGAAGGAGAAAAAAAAAAAGATCATTCAATCTTAGGAATCAATGGAGATAACTAGATTTTCTGACAGCCAACCTAGGTCCTGCAATAAACTACATGGCAAAGCCAGAGCTGGATAAAAGCCCTAAATGTTGTAAAGAATTTCTTTATACAACTACAGAGTTACTTCTTTTATCTCCTGAAATTACGAGTTAATTTGAGAGTCTAATGAAAATGTATATATTACAGAGAATTAGTAATACCAATAAATACCATTACCTATAAAACTGGAAAACCATTCACAATTTTTAAAGACCCTGGTATTTTCTGCTGTATTTGTTATTTAATTGTTTATCTCTGTTTGAATTTATAAGACCTGTTCACCCAGATAATCTTCTATGAGAACGTGAACAAACCACTTATTAACATGACATGTACTTTTCCAAAGGTGCTAAAGAATTAGAGCATTACAATGTGCTTTTACATAATCTTACTGAATTCCATTTTAATACATTTCATGCAGATGTTCAAAACAAGACAGGGATTTTTCCTTAACTTCTAAATGTAGCAGACGCCATGGACACAATCAAAAAACCTAAATGTAGTATAATTCCCCCATGTTAAAGATAATCAGATCTTACTTTACCTTATTAGTTGTTTTTGGTTTTCCCAAAACTCCAGAATCTTTCAGAAGTTTTTCTTGCTTGAATTCTTCTTGTTTTCTGAAGAGCTCAGCCTTAAGGTCTACCAACTAGAATAGCACCAAATAAGCAAACAAAAACAGTTAATTAATTCTAATGAGTGACTGGATTTCTAAATTATTGTAATTCTCAAATAAAGATATCAAGTACCTATAATTGGACAAAAAATAGATACAAAATTTAATGTCTGAATGTAAAATCCAGTACAAAATAAAACCAACATTCAGCTCTACTGGAAATGTATTTCTTCTCTAACAAAGGCTTTCCTCTGGGCAAGGGGACAATGAAAAGGCAAAGTAAAGGAAGTCTGCATTCTGTATCTTTTAGATTCAATTCAACTAAGACTATTAAACATCTCTCTGACTGCCACTGCACTTGACTTTTTTGTATGGTAATCTCATTTAATCATCACAACAACTTACTATCTCTACAGGGAAATGTCTTTGTTCAGCAATTATCTGAGCACTGGATACAAACATGAATTAGACATATATTCCTGCCACAGTCTATAATTTAATAAGAAAAGTAACTTACAATAGCAGTAAGATCTAATAAATGACTTTGAGAAGAGAGTAGCATAAAAGTTCAGCTAAGGGAGCATTTCTTTCTGGCCATAAAGATAAGCAATGGCTTTGAGCAGAGCCTTAGAATACAGGAAAGATTTCAACATCCTATAAATAAAGTGACTGAGTGACAGGAACAGCTTCAAGTCTGTTTCAATTTGTCTTGGAAACTCTTAAGTTTAGCTGAATCAGAGGGTTCAAGAACAGAAAAGGTCAGGGCAAAGGGTACAGGGCAAATGGATGGATAACCCCCCGCCTAACCCTCTGCTATATCAGACAGCACTGTCTACTCTGCAAAAAAAGGATTTTACAGTTTCCTTTTTAAGGGTCTGGGTGCAACTTTAAGGGTCTGATTTACATACGGGCATTTGTAAGTTGGGTATTTATAAAGCCCAGCATCGAAGACTCTTTTAAGGGAAATCAAGATGACTGAGTTCAGTATTTCCATTTTGGAAGACATCAACTTAAAAGGGAATTTCACCAATGCAAAGGGAAGTTTTATTACAGGTCCCGTTATTCTAAATTCTTCAACATAAATTTAAAACTTTTGCCTTCTTAACTACACCAACTTTCTACCACACTGTTTTTCTGTTCTACAACTACTTTTGAATTTTTAAAGGAAGATGTTCAGAAAACTGTCAATTCCCAGATGGCATTCCCATTACGATTATTTTAACCCATCAGGATAGGATAACTTTATATTAATAGCTTTTTGGTTCTTTATCCTCAAACATAAGAACTAGTCCTATTATTCAGTATTAAATGAGGTAAAGGGGCTCAAATATCTGAACACTTGGTAGTTTTCCTTTGTTGTCCCTTTGTATCCTAATTCTCTGCAACAAACTGAAGATTAAATCAAAAGTGAGGCAATTTGCTCTGATGTGACAGAAAAGGCAACAGCTTTGGAGTCAACCAGACTTAGTAGGCCAGTCTAGCACTAAGAATTCTCTGTGCAGGGTGGGGAAAGCCACTTTCCCTTTCTCAGCCTCAGTTTCATCGGCTATAAAATGGAGATATTAATAGCACCTACCCCATAACGAAGTTGAGAGGATTCGATGAAATAAATATTCGGTACTTACTCATTGTGATAAATAAGGTGAAAATAAACTGCTGACAAGGATATGAACTCAGAACAGGTTTTCTTCCTAGAAGTACTTAAACTGAACTGCTGATGACCTGTTTAACCTTTCAGCTCCCAGGCAGTGCATCCTACAGGTGCCTTAACGACTATTAAGTCCCGGGTCGGGGGACGCCTCGGAGAGCAGAGAAGAGGTCACAATGTTCTGGGAAGCCCTGGCTGGTCCTCGGACTCGAGGAGAAACCAGGAAGGGGCTATGCGCAGCAAGTACAGGCCCGGCGGAGGTCCGCCCCCACTGCAGAGGGGACAGGGATGGCAGGGAAGCCTGGCCGGGGTGTCGCAGAAGCGAGGCAGGGACATTCCTAACTGGGAAAAGACAACAGGTTCAGGGAGGAAGTGCAGGTGCGTTTCTGCGGGGAAAGGCCAAGTTCAGGGTCCCATAAGTAAGAAGTTAGCTGGGTGCCCGCTCGAGCACAGCCGGATCTGAGGTCCTGTTTGAGAGGAGTCCCGGACTGGGTCCCTGAAGCAGAAATCAGTGGGGAGAGTCTTGTGCGGTGGAGGCGGGGAGAACTGAGAACCCGCAGTATCAGGCACACCCGCACTCACCGAAGAGGCTGTAACGTCCAAAGGCTTCTTCCTCCGGTCCATGGTCGGTACAGAGCGCCTCAGCGAAAACGACTCCCTTACCCAGACCCCGCAGGCCTCAAAGGCCGGCCATCGGCGCACCCGGAAGTGTCGTTATGTCAGCGACGCTAAATTTGCGACGCTGGCGCCATTTGAGAGGCGAGGATGTGGGCGGATTGCGTTCTGGCGCCATCTTGAGAAGGTCAAAATGCCTCGGGTTAAAGGTAACTGTTAAGGTCATCTTGAAGAGGATAACAAGGGGTGGCTCATGGCGCCATCTTGAGAAGGTCATAATAAGGATTCTGTGGGACGCTATTTTGAGAAGGTCGGGTAAGATGTTGGCAATGTCTCCATATTGGGGAGGTCGGAGTAAACTCAAGCATTGCTTCCTCCTAGTGAAAAGAAAAGTGGGTTAGTAGGAATGGAAAGATCTAAATACCATCTGAGTAACGGCTGTATGCCAGATTCTGTGTGGTACTTCTCGCATGTTCATTTGTTTAATTATCACAAGCTTCATATAAGGATTATTAAATTATTCTTCATAGAAATAACTAATAATGACTATAATAATAGCTAACATTTATATAGTGCTGACTCTGTGCCACTTTACATATTTCAGCCGGTAAGAACATGAACTCCAGAGGCCAGTTTCCTGAGTTGGTCTCACCCTTACTGGCTTTGAGACCTTGGGAAAGTTACTAACTTTCCTGCATCTCAGTTTCCAAACGGGAATAAAATAGTATCCAATTCAAAGGATGTAATAAGGATTAAATGAGTAAATGAGCTAGTCTTGATAAAAACTTTAATGATTGTGGGAGACAAACTAATGACTCCCTCCCAACCCCAAAAATGTCCATCTTCCAATCCCAGAACCTATGTATAGGTTACCTTATATGGCAAAAGGGAATCTGCAGATATGATTAAATTAAAGATCTTGTGATAGATTATCCAGTATAATGTAATGTAATCACAAGGGTCAGCACCAATGAGAGAGCAGAAAATGCTGCACTGTAGCCTTTGAAGAGGGAGGATAGGATTGAGTACCAAGGAATGCAGAAAGCCTCCAGAAGCTGAAAAGACAAAGAAATGAATCCTTTAGAGCCTCTAGAAGGAATGCAGAACCACTGATACATAGATTTTAACCTTGTAATAATTTTGCACCCCAATTCAACGTGTGGGGCTTTTCCCACACCACCAAGCAATTCTCCAAAACCAGCTGGCTGTCCTACAATTCAGCTTAATTCTGACACTACCTGGAGATAGCATCAGATCCCACAAGTCAAGGACTCTGTTCTGCAAGACTGCCCAACATCAGGCACCAATCTCAAATCCAGGTTGTCACCTCTGCTTCTAAATTAGAGGTTGCAAGGATCTGCTCCTTGGGTGCAACTAATTTACTAGGACAGCTCACAGAACTCAGAGAAACATTTTACTTACTAGATCACCGGTTTTTTATGAGGCTGTGACTCGGGAACAGACCCGGTGGAGAACATGCATAGGGCAAAGTATGTGGGAAAAGGTACAGAGATTTCCATGCCCTCTTTGAGAGAGCTGCTCTCCACATATCTTCACGTGTTCATCAATCTGAAAGCCCTCCAAACCCTGTCCTTTTTGGGGTATGGAGGCTTCATTACATGGACATGATTGATTAAATCACTGGCCCATTGGTGACTGAACTCCAGCCCCTCTCCTCTGCAGGGATGGAGAAGAGGGGGAAGCTGAAAGGTCCAACCTCATAATCACATGGTTGGTTCTCTTTGCAAGCAACCCAACCATAGAGGGTTTCCAAAAGTCACCTCATTAACATACCAGAAGATACCTTTTATACCAATGATACATTTTATCATTAGGAGTTCTGTGCCAGGAACTGAGTTAAAGGCCCCGTTAAACACATGTATTACCCACACCTTGGAAGGCTCATTTCAGACTTCTCCAGAACCGTAAGAGAATACATTTGTGTTGGTTTAAGCCACAAAATGTGTGGTTAATTTGTTACAGCAGCAATTAGAAACTGATACAAATGATGATTGTAGCCACAGCATTCCTACATGTCAGGCATGTGTGTAACTCTTTTCATGGATTACCTCATTTAATTCTTGCCAGAATCCCAGAGATGGGAGCTATTATCCCCATTTTACAGAGGAGAAAAAGTAAGGCCCAAAAGATTAAATGACATGTCAAAGGGCATTTGCCAGCTAGCTGGTGATGGAGCTTAGAGCCGAAGAACTGAGTTAAAGAATTGAGTCAAAGACATTGAGTTAATTATTTGCACACATTTACTTGTAACTTGGGGAACCAATATAGATTGATTTCACCTAGAAAAGACTAGAAGAGAATTTCTATAACAGAGGCAAGAGGCGGCAAGGAAAAGCAATAGACAGACTGGAAACCATGAACTTTGGTTTCCCTGCCTAGCTAGCCGCTGGCAATGATGCCAGTCAGAATTCTGATCTTGGGCAGACAGACAGAAAGTGATTTTAGTTGTTTGTGGCTGCCCAGAGGACCTTGAGAGGTTAGCTTTCCCTGTGCATGCCTGTCAGGATCCTTTGATCTCGGCCCCGTGTTCATTAGGCGGGCTTGTACCATGCTCCGATCACAAATGCTCACTGGAGCAGCATCCAGCTGATTTTAATTACCTTCCAAGTCATTTAAATTATGAAGAAAAAATAAATAAGTTTCAAAGAAAAACCCAGTGAGCCTCCTTTATCCCCTTAGCCCTCACACACATCAAGGTCTGGGGAAGCAGGGAGAGCTTAATCTTACACCAGTGATTTTTCATATACCCTGTTTCTTCAAATTCTCCTCTTCCTTGACTGCTTTCCAAATGTCGGGGTCTATCTGGAACTGCCTTCTTCTCCCAGGTACAAACACTGAGGCCACAGCCCTTATGTTCTTTACCAGGCCACTCTCTTCCTCAGGTGTCATCTTCTGACCTGGATCTCAGACCACAGCGCACTACATGTGGGCCTGTGTTTGTTCTGGAAGAGAGGGGAGGACAGAGATCCCCTCATCTGGTTGAAAAGCACAAGATTTCCTCCTCCGAGGAGCCCGGGCCTCAGTCTCAGCCGCACCCCTGCAGCTACCTTGACAACAGCACGTCACCCCTCTGAGTCTCAGCGACCTCACTCAGCTGGGCACAGGATGTTGAGATACAGACCATGGAAAGGGTTTGCAAGCTGAAAAGTGCCACTGCACACATCACTTGCAGGATCAATAGTTTTGCTCAGCACCAGTTTTCTCGCAGCAGAAGGCACGGGCTCGAAACAGCCTGTGTTATGACACTGCATATTTTACAGTGTTTTGATCTCAGGTGTGTCCTCACCCCTGCTGGGTCCCAAGGTGGTGGGGGCGGGAGGTCCATTATCTTATTCCTTCTCATCTCTTAGTGGATTTTAATTGTGTGTCAAATCTCCTAGGTGCTTTAAATAAAGGGGGAGAGACCTCCTGAAACACACAGCAATTATTTCCCTGTGAGTCTGGCCGACAAGCCATGCCCTTATTTTTAAAGGAGGCCCTGCAGCCATTGTCCAACAAGAGGCTGATTCAGCCTGTGCTGATACAGTGATGCCTGGATTGGTGGTGAGCCAGGAAGTTTAATTTGGTCCAGGCCCCGCTTTGGCACATGAAAAAATTTTTTCTACATATCCTGTTTCCTAAAACTAAAAATGTGTCTCTCCTCCTTGTGTCCAGCGTACAGCATCTAAAGCTTTGTTCTGTCTCCAGCACCCTGTCTCTGATAATAAATTACTCGGCAGTGGATTAATCAGTCAAATCTAATGTGCGAAAAATGATTAGGTTGGACCTAAGGACATTAGATCCTAAGCACAGGCACAGAATGAGGCATAAAAACACCAAAACTTGTACCCTGGGTCATGAAGAAAGCTTACCTTTATTTGCATCAGGCACAAAATCTGTTATTAGCATTATCTCATTGAATCCCCACGCCAACCTCAGGAATAGGTGCTGTTATTATCCTTATTTTGTAGATGAGGAAACTGAGAAGTTCAGCATCTTGTCCAAGGTCACACAGCTAGTCTTAGTTCCAGGATCTGAACCCCAGCAGCCTAGTTCAGGGCCTCACACTGTCCTCCCTCGGGGGATCTGAGATTATGTTAACTTTGCATTCATTCATTTATTCAGTCATCCATTCAACACTACTGGGGAAGGGGGGGAATTTTTATAGGAGCTGGTCCCAAAATATTTCTGCAGAAGGGACCTGTCATTAGGTCACTGCAGGCAGAAGGGACCAGCCAGGTGAACGCCAATGGGCCTGACAGTGCTGGTGGGAACTGAATAAGGATCATGTGGTGGCCTGGAGCTGAGCTGGCAAATACAAGGTAATGGGATGGTGAGTGGGCCTTTCTGGCAGCTTAGAAGTCAGTGTTAAAGGTCACAGTAGAACTTGAGTCCCACAGGCTCAAGAAAACTGCCAGCCATTGGGGCCTGAGAGTTGCCCCCTCCCACCTCCACCCAGCAGCTTACTAAGAGCAGGAGAAGATGCTTTTACTGTGTCCAACCCCATGCTGGTCCCACCGCATATATGGAGACAGCTGGGAGGAGGCAGAGGGAGCCTGATGCCAAGTGAGGGACCCCCAGGATGGGGCATGTTGGCCCTGGCAGTCCCCAGGTAGGGCAGATCCCTGAGGGCCCTGAAGGCCATTTGGTGGGAAAGAGCAGAGAAACTTGAGGCTGGAGAGGCTAAAGGCATTTGCCCTTGTCCCCTGATCCCTCATTTGGCCCTGTGTTAGTTTCCCAGGGCCAAGAGGGGTGGCCTAGACAGAAACGTTCTGGAGGGCTGAAGCCTGCCCTCAAGGTGCGGGCAGGGCCACACTCCTGCTGCAGGTGGCAAGGGAAACTTCCTTGCCTTTTCTTGGCTTCTGCTGGTTTGCTGGCAGTCTCTGTGGGCCTCGGCTTGTCGGCACATCAGTCCACTCCCCTCCTCTCCCTGTGTCTCTTGGCCATCACGACTACTCCGTGTTCACACAGCCGTCTTCCTATGAGGTCACATCGCATTATGGGCCCACCTGACTCCAGTATGGCCTTACTTTAGCCAATTAGACCTGCTGACAATCCCATTTCCACGCAGGGTCACACTTTGAGATACAGGGGTTAAGACTTCAACCTATTGGAGTTTTTTT